TCATGATTTTCTTTGAAGATTTGGATCATTGGCCCACCATTTAGATAACAAAATAGCTTTGCTTTCATATCAGTTTTAAATTATATATTTCATCAACATTATATAAATAATTTTTACTTATCACACTTAATTTTTGTTTGAAATAATTAATATATAATTTTTCATATATTCTTTTGATTACATTATATCTTATGTATAACATTTATTCTTGTGATTCTTTGTATTTTCTATTTTTAAAATTTTCTTATCATTTCTAGGTTGATTTTAATTTTGGCATTTCATTTTCATCATTTATAAAAATATTTCTTACATTTCATAGTTATTTTTGTTCAGAATAATGAATATACAATATTAGTGACATGCCCGGTTCTTTTTATTTTTTGTAATATGTATTTTATTAATTTTAATTTTTTATTATTTAATTATGACATTATTTATTAACATAATTGACCCCAAATGGTTGAATTGCTTACCCACCACCGAGAGGGAAGAAAATGGTTTTGTTTTTAAATTATTTTTTGAAATATTTATTTTTATATTATTAAAATCAATGTTGTGGATTTAATTAGTAGAATTTCATGATGAGAAAAATATATCTTAAATATAGGATTTAATAAGAGAATATGTTAGACAGTTTTGTATGCCCTTAGTTCCAATTAGTTTGGTGTACTTATGACATTTATTGTAAAAGAATAAAGTACATATTTGATTCATGTTCTTGTGGTGTGTTTCTGTGTAATACCCTTAAACTAGACTTGAGACTCGTGTTAATTTAGAACGTTCATAGCTAGTGGGTCGGTCTAGGGAGACCTATCTTGACAAGGCTGACACTGATGTGCCGTCAAGTCGGTTGGGGTGGTCTGTCTCTGCCACCAAGGTGAGACCCGAGGTACATGTAGTGTATGAATAATTGAATATTTGAACTGAACCAGATTTCCAGTATTGCTCTATACCTTGGAGATTGATGGGCAAAACTGGAAAGTTACACCTGACCCCTAGACTCGATTATGATACTGCACTAGGTGTCGGATTGGGCTGTCTTTGATATACCAATCAGTGAGATCCTTAGCAGGGTCAAAACCTGGGTATGTTGGGACAGTCTGAGAATTCATCTGAGTGGGTGATCATAGTGACAGGATCARCCCCTTTGTCGGACAAAGGTAATGATCGGGGATGCACTCTCTTTGATGGAAACCAAGACTACCGGCAGCCGATTTCAATCGTTGAGATTTGTTTTGCAAAATATATTTTATATGAGATATAAAAGTATATATATATATATTATGGTTTCCAAACGTTTGTAAAGGTTTTAATTCCCAAGATCTATGTGAGTAGAGAGTGGCAGTACCGTTCCTTGCAGCTGAGGGAGAAGTTCTCTCTTGTCGGGCAGTGTTTGATCATTATGGGCTGAGAGGTTAAGTGTAAGACCATTGAGTGTAAAACTTGATGGGCTAATCTTACATTTGCCCAAAGTCCCTAGGTGTTACAAGGTGGCTTGGCCCAGGGACCACTTAGGGTAAGTGTTGGGTCCATAGAACCCATGTGATGGGTTTTAGGGGGTGCACTGTCCATAACAGTGCATTCAGCCAGGCCTTGTAACAATAGCTGGGCTGAACCCTTGTGGCTGATGTGTAGATCAATGTTTGGGTCCCACGCCATACAAGGAAGCCCAACTGGGCAGCAGTTTGGAAGGCTAAGTGAGCACATAACCTTATTGGGCCTAAAGCCCATTTCGAACAGAGCTGATTTGATCAGTTAAATAAGGGGCGAGTTTTGAGATTGGATTGAGCCTTAACCCTATCCACTCAGAGAGTCCAGATCTAAATGTGATTTAGATCTAGAAACCTCCTAATGAGATTAGGAGAAGGCTGATCCATTCTGCAGATAAGATAAGGGTTAACCCTTATCACTTAAAGGGAATTCTGATCCAAATATGATTTGGATCAGCAACTCCTAATGGGATTAGAAGCTGATCCCTTTAAGGATATAAAAGGAGGAAGGGGCGTCAGCCTTTAGAAGACACATATTCACATCCTCTTCAAAGCTGAAATCACAGAAGAAAGAATCTAACAACCATACAAAATTCTTTCTTGCCGCCTCACCTGTCAGTTAGATCTCTAGTTAAGTGGGAGAAATCAAGATTGGATCTTGATATCAGTTTCTTGTGAAGGGACTGATAGAAAGCTATGCTCACGTGCCATCCTGCTGATTCGTGCAAAGGATCAGGTTCCTGGGAAGAACATTGCTGATTCTGCTCTATCCTGCACTGTGCCATCTTCAGTGGGAGCAGTCTTTGGTTCCTTCATTCGGCATGAACACCTCTATTAGGAGATACTATTTCTCCGTATCAGGTATATCCCTCTCCTACTACTTTGGTTTAGATCTGGTTCAGTTCTTGGTTCAAGATTGATCCTTGAAAAATACGATTTTTCTAAAATAAGGGAATACGATTCCCAGTAGGATGGAGAGAAATTTTTGAAATTCGCCCCTTCTATTCCACAAGATTCGGGCGTCCATACGATGGATATCTCATCCCTTCAGAATATACCTTAGATATGAGATTTAATGAGAGATAATAGGAAAATGGTTTTACTTGCAAATTCCAATTGGTTTTAAATTTTACATTCCATTTCCATCATTAATAAAAACATTTCTTATTTGTCATCAATGTTTTTAACCTGTTGTTGACTTCGGTGATTGAACCATTCAAACCATCACTCGACCTTTATTTTGGGTTTGGTTTTGTTGAAACTCTCCCTTTAAGCCTTTTAGTTAAAAGTTGTATAACCTGGGCGGTTCAACCATTGACCCATTTGACCTAGTAAGCAAGTCATAGGTTGCACACTTTAATTATGTGCAAACTTTTGGAAGTCATAACTTTGCACCCCGATGTTCGATTGGAGCTATCCTTTTTTTTTATTATTTTGAGTAACTTTTCAAGATCTATATGTCTCAAGGGCCTTAGGCGCCTTTCATTGCTATTTTTGCGAAAAAAAACTTCTTTTTTGGCCCAAAATTGTAATTTTTAATATTTTTTTATAAATAAAAAATTAAAAAACATAAATAAATGTAACATAATACATATAATATATGTAAAACATAATTATACTATTTATTGATAAAATATGTATTCTTACACACACACACATAGTGTGGAGTCTGTTGACATAGAGCAGTTTGACTAGTTTGACCTTAATAGTCGAATCATTGACCTATGACTTGAAGGCAAAAATGGTTGGCCTCCAGGTCAGTTTTTAAAACGTTGTTTATCATACTTATTATTGTTTAATATGTCAAATATATGATGTTAAAAATGTTCTCAATTATTTTTAATTCTTGTATTTTTTTCATTTTATTATTTAATTGTGGCAACATGGATTGGCTCATTTGACCCAAATGGTTTAACTTTTTACCACCACGTAGATGAAAATACTATTTTTTAGGTAGATTTTAAAAATATAAGTTTTTATGTTATTGAAATTATTAATTTATTATGTATGGATTTAATTATAGAATTTAATGTGAGAGAATTGAATGTATTGAATATCCTAAAATTATCTCTTTTTAACTCATTTAATATCAATAACCAAATACTCTATTTGCCCTCATTTTTTATCAATAAATTTAAATATAAAGGGGTAAATTTTGTCCTAAAAAAACTCCAAAAATATTTTTGAGGCTATTTGTACTTTTTAAAATAGTATAGATATAAAACATAAAATATATGTATAATGTATGTATACATACAATTAATAAAATATATGTATAAATTTATGTTAACACACACATAGATAAGACTTCAAATTATCTCCCCTGGCCACTAGAAAGGTTGAGGACTGAATTATCTTGAGTATTGTGGAGCTATTTATTGCCCTAAATCTAGTTTTGGAAATACTCAAAGTCTCAAACAACTGAAATTGTCAAAGGTGATGCACTACTGTTACTATAACCTTGATAGCTATATCATTAAATGTGTCGCATGACATGAAACCACACCCATTTCTACTAACCATGGTTTTCAAATCATCCTTTACTTGGATGGCCGGATCGGCTTGGAAACCGTCATGCAACCAGTTCCGTTTCACCTCTGAACCATAACTTTGTCAAAAAATCATTGACTTGGTCAATGATCTACTAACCCGGGTGATTAAATTGGCACCAGTTGAATTGTTGGCCATTTTTTATATATTTTTTTAATTGCAATAGACTGTCTGTTCAGACTGGATGGTCAAATTGCTGACCTGGAAAATGATGGCCAAAACAGTTCTGGTTCTGGGTCGGTTTTTAAAACATTGTGAGAGCATATTAGAAAGTAATTAGAACTCAGATGATCAGAATCGGAGGCCAGGAATTCTAGATATGATATGAATGGCCAACTTTTGAAAGTAATCGTTGTCAATGTTTTTTTGAAAGGAAGAAATCTCTTTGAAGCTTTTCTCTCTCCGAAAAAAAAAACAACACAAATAATGTTCCCTTTAGTTGTAAAGCCGTAATCTGTGGCAAAGATAAGGTTAGTGGTATGTATTTTACCCATGTCTCGGTAATGCAAAAGAAGAATTAATATGACCACTTTTATCACTTGATCCCATTTCCTGCTTTTAATCAATGAAACTTTTATCGTTAAAGGGGGGTTGTAACCTTTTATTGCAGTTGATCTGAAAATTCATTATCGAGGAGGAAAGGTTCTCTCAATTCTTCTCAATTCATCAAACACCAACGGACCTTCAGCAATTTCATGAGACAGTGGGTATATATTCCTGGACAAGGTGGACCTCCACGCCTTAAAGAGAAATCTTTCCAGAAATTTGTTATTGGAGTATAAATGGGTAGATCTTCCCGTGAAAAAAATAAAAGAAAATAGGAAAAAGGAAAGAAAGAATGTGATACCTGACATTTTATCCATCATGCTTACATCATCCTTTTCATGTCATCCTTGGATCATATAAGTGGAAGAGTTTCTGTAATCTTCAGAACCATAAGTGGTTCAAAGTTAATGAAAAATGAAGGTTGGTTTTCTCATATTCTTGGAAACCAATAAGCCTTATCTTGTAATGCTCTTGGTACAATCTATCTATGCAGGCATGGCCTTGTTCTCAAAGGCAGCAATTGATAAAGGAATGAACCCCTTCATTTTTGTTGCTTATAGGCAAGCCTTTGCTTCACTTGTATTGGGTCCATTTGCTTTCTTCCTAGAAAGGTTCCCAAGACTCACACCCTTTAATTCTAGTTCTTCAATCTTTCAGTCTTCAGATTGTCATTCTTATAGACTAATGGTTTAGTTAATTAATTATTTATTAATGTTGCTGATTGCCTCTAGGAAGAGGGCTCCTCCTATATCATACACTCTACTGTGGAAGGTCTTCTTGGTTGCTTTATGTGGGTAAGTTAGCTTATTTGTTTCTTTCTTTTGTGTCTAATATCATGAGATGGTGGTTCAGTTACTTGAGATAATTAAAAGCATTCAATAATAGTCTCAATATCCATATTGCAGGATCACATTGAGCTCCAATCTATATTATGTTGCACTTAACTACACCTCTGCAACATTTGCAGCAGCATCTTCTAATGTAATCCCTGCTATGACATTTATCATTGCTGCTTTACTGAGGTGAAACAGAAGAACATCATTTGTAATCTTTTTCCATGCTTAATAGAGTATTAGCTGATTAAAATATTATTCTTAATTTGTTCAAGTTAATTGCACCATTATTTTAATTTTAACTTTTCAGGATGGAAAGCATTTCTGTAAAGCATTTATATGGAGTGGCCAAGGTGTTTGGCTCTGTAGTATGTGTTTCAGGGGCTCTGGTTGTTGCTTTATACCAGGGTCCTCCCATGAAGTTTATGAATTGGTATCCATCGGTTCATAGAGAGGTTTCACGACCTTCTGCAAATAATCATAGTTCCAAAATGGACAGAATAAGAGGCTCTCTTCTAATGCTTTCGGCAAATGCAGTCTGGTCATTGTGGCTAATTTTGCAGGTTTTTTTTTTCTCTTTTATCTTTAACATCTCTCTCTCTCTCTCTCTCTATAGACAGAACAGCACTTCACATGACTTTTAACCAAGCCAGCCAAAAGCTCTCTCTCTCTCTCTCTCTCTCTCTCTCTCTACGTGATAGCACTTAGGTGGGCTGTGGTATCAGTGTCATTTGTACTGATCGAGGACCATAAATGAAGCCATAATTAAGATTGTTATTTCTTCTCTTTTCTTTTTGTTTTCTCTTTCTTTTCTTCCATTTCGATTTTGTTATTTACTCGTATTTATGTTTGCAGGTTCCCATTGTGAAGATATATCCAGCTAAACTTTGTCTTACTACGTTGCAATGCCTTTTTAGCTGCATTCAATCAACTATTCTGGCTGTAATCTTAGAGAGAAACCCATCTTCATGGAAGCTTGGATGGGATGTCAGCCTTCTCTCTGTTGCATACTGTGTAGGTTTCTTCAACCGTTTTACTCCATATATATTTTACATACAGGGACGTCGAATTTGCAATGTTTATGGTTTTACTCAGAGTATGAAAAGTTGTTTGTTCCTCCTTTGTGCATTTTTTACTTATAAAAGCGAGTAATGATAAGCTGGCTCTGTTTGAAGCATCCTTCAGCTCTCTCTACTCCCTCATATGGCAAAACATGTGGATGGGGCTGAGCTGCTGATGAAGAGCAAGAAGCACAAAAATAGGATTCATTCTAGCTCAAAATGGTCAAATTTGGTATTAGCAAGCATCAGATTTTCTTTCTCAAACTGCTTCTCTGCAAGCCAGCTCCATCTCTCGTGACCAGAAGAGGGATTTAAGAGAGGAAGTGGTTTTTGGTCTGTTGGTCTCCAGTTATGCCCGATAAAAGGGGGTCGAGGAAACGCCTCTAATCTTGCACTACTAACACCATACCAAGCCAACCAAACCAACCAAATCCCCAAAACTGAAAAAGACTAAACAAATTACCAACCAACGTTAACCGGGCCCCTCACCGACTTTACACAAGCAAAAGCTGAATCAACCCAACGAAACCGAGAACCACACCACTCAAGAAACAGGTCTTCCTCCACCTTTCTCTCTCTGCCCCTAGTTGGTTTTCATGATCTTGAGGCCTTAATCATCCACTTTGACCAAACAGTCCACTTAGGCCACGTTTGTTTGAGGTGGAAAATCGAACCGGGGTAAACTTTACACCCCGGTTCGATTTTACATGTATTTGGTAGAGGTGTTAATATTGCCTCCTGAATCAATGTAAAAGTCCATTCTCACCAATATTTACATTGAAAATCAATGAAAAGTTTACATCGATAAACTTTTCCTTCTTCTCTGTCCAATGGTCTCCTCTCTATTTGAAGAGTTGAAGAGAGCGTGAGAAGATCTCCTCTCCTCTGATTGTGAGAAGACCTCCTCCGTCCAATGGTCTCCTTCTGCATCCTTTGTTTTGAGAGAGATTTTGTTTAGTTTCTCCAAATGCTGCATTTCCCAGAAGGGAAAGAGCCTACCTTCAAATAAGAGCTCGTCGGCCGTTAACATCCTATCACCAGTGGAATTGCTAGAAAGAAACTCGAAATCTACATTGTGCACCAACACCTTTTCTCGTTCTGTGTCAAGCTTCTTTGGCGACTCTGAGCGTGGGTTTATGGAGATGAAATCATTGTCGTTCACTCGTGGACGGAGAAAGACATCCGCGGGCTCAATGTCGGCTCCATGGATTTTCAGAGCAGATCTCCTTCCAAATTGAGCCTAAGGCAAAGGGTTTGGGTTTCCTACACTAAGGTCGGCTCTAGCCTTTGTGTTTATTTATTTAATAGACCGAACTGCCTCACAATTATCTCCTGCAAACCTTCATCTCTAATCATTGGAACAAGCTTGGATCTTGGCCAATAACATATTGTTCTGTGCTTTAACATTGAGGTGTTCCTCCATGTCTTTCAGTTCATGAACCTTTCGGGCAAGCTCCCCCGCTATTATCTCCTTCTCCTTCCCCAAGCCTGAGAACATACGCTCCAGGCTCTTCCGTGCCGTCATGCCGCCAAGCTCTTCCGACCTCTCATGGCATTCGACTAATTTGACAGTTGGAGTCTTCGTCCCTGTGATAACTCCTAGGGCCTCTGATATCTTCTTCTCAGCAGGTTGGACCTATCGGCCTTGGACACTAGGGATTACGTTCTTGTCCTTGACTCCATCTTTGGCAGCAACACTGTCCTAGCAATTGCTACAGCTGAAATGTCTAATTCTCATCCATGAAGAAACATTTAATTTTGTAGGAAAAGTGAGAGCTTCACATTCTTTAGTGAGCTTTCTCTTCTAGTCCCTCTTGTTTCACAACACATTCAGGGGAACTCGACAGGCTAGCTACCTACCGGGACATAGATTGAGCAGATTGTCCATTGATGTGTCTCTTTGTCAAGAAACAAAAGGGGATTGAACGGATGTCTTAAATAAAATTGGTGAGGCTATAGCCAAACGTATCTTAATTCAATGTGCTTATTTTTGGAAACTCTTTGCTCATATGAGAGAGAGATGCATGTAGTTAATTTTTACATGTAGCCAGCAGTAATTAATTTTTCCAATTTTACTGAGTTCTTCATATTAAATGCTTGAGTTGAGATGTTCTGCAAGACTAACTGAATGCAACTGGTAGGGTGTAATTGTCACTGGGATCACGTATTGGTTGCAAGTTTGGTGCATAGAGAAGAAAGGGCCGGTTTTCGCATCAATCTTTACCCCGTTGGCACTGCTTATAACAGCTATCTTCTCAGCATTCCTGTGGAAGGAGACACTGCATTGGGGAAGGTCCATACTAGCTCCATGGTTCTATTTACTTAATTACACACAATACATAAAGGGAAATTAAGAAATTTTCCAAAACAAAATAGGCACTTATATTTATATACACTAGTATGTCTTAGGTCTCTTGTACTAAACTATGATTGGTAGGCTTTTTGCTAAGATTTATCTGTTGAGAACTTTATATGAAATATTTGTATTTGACGAAAGTCTATTTTCCTGGCAGTATTGGTGGAGCTATATTTCTAGTGGGGGGTCTCTACAGTGTCTTGTGGGGTAAGAAGAAAGAGGATGGTATATGTGAAAGGAATGAACAAAGACAAGAAGCCAAAGAGGAAAGCATGTTGGAGTGCATTACACATCAGTAAGTGATGACGGGAAGGATTGGTGCAAAGGACTTTATCTAGGGGATTCCAACATACAGGGAAAAAAAAAAAAAAACTTCTTTTACATACCTTCTTTTCTTTTAATGAGATTTGTTTTGCAATGCTTTACTGTATAAGTTGTTATCACCGTAGAAGTAAATTAAGAACATTGGGCTATTCGAATGGGTCTTTAATATGTAAAACAAGCACATATGGTTGGGGACTTCAGCAACATCAATCTTTCAATTCATACATATTACCAACCAACTAGCGATCAATGTTGAATTCAGTTGGCAAGCTCTCTTAAATATGTCCTAGTTCATATTCAGAATGATTCAAGGAGAAGCATACACTATTTTGATTCCCATGATAGTGTTTTTGTTTGAGTGGGTTTGCTGAGATCCCATTTATCTTGAAGATGCACTCACATACACGAATGCGATAGCTTTAAGCCTTGTGTGTCGAGAACCCAAGAGGAGTTCTAGTGCTAAGCATGATCCACAATATTGGTGAATGGTGATTTGAGATTTGACAAATTTTCCCCAAATCTTCCCCTTTTACACAATATGTTTTATTTTATGTTAAATCTTATTATTTAATATAAAATATAAAGGTTTTAAAGCTTTATTTTAACATGTAAATAAATATTTATGAATTGAAACGTGTCAATACATGTGTCAACACTTGATCAGTTAATTCAAATATGAGAATTGTCCTCCTAAGCAAGCCTTTAAAGGCTTCATTCTCATTCCCTAAGCAATGTGGGACTTGGAAAAACATTCAATGGTTGCATTAACTGTTAAACAGTTATGCCCTTAGCTCCGATCAGATTGATGTATCTTTTGACATTTATTGTAAATGAATAAAGTACATAATTGATTCATGTCATTGTGGTGTGTTTTTGTGTAATACCCTTAAACTGGACACTTATGAGATTCGTGTTAGCTTAGAATCTTCACAGCCATTAGATAGATCTGGGGAGATTTATCCTGCCAAGACTGACATTGATGTGCCGCCAAGTTGGTTGGGGTGGCTTGTCTTAGCTACTAGGGTGAGACCTGAGGTACATGCAGTGTAAGTTTTTTTGAAACCCCGAACTAGACCAAATTCCAGTATTGCCCTGGACCTTGGAGATAGATAGGCAAAACTGGAGTGTTACACCTGACCCCTAAACTCGATTATGGTACTGCACTAGGTGTCAGATTGAGCTGTCATTGATATGCTAATCAGTGAGATCCTTAGAGGGGGTCAAAACCTGGGTATGCTAGGGCAGTCTAAGAATTCACTTGAGTGGGTGACCATAGTGACAGAATCAGCCCCTTTGTTGGACAAAGTGAATGATCGGGTAATGCACTCTCTCTGATGGAAACCTAAACTACTGGCAGTTGATTTCAAACTTGTTGAAATTTGTTTTTGCAAAATATATTTATATAAAGATATACATATATATATATATTATGGTTTCAAAATGTTTAAAAAATGTTTTAATTCCCGGGATCCATGTGAGTAGAGAGTGCAGCACTACACCTTGTAGCTGAGGGAGAGGTCATCTCTTGTCGAGCAGTGTTTGATCATTATGGGCTAAGAGGTTAAGTGTAAGACCTTTGAGGGTAATACCTGATGGGCTAATCTTGAATCTGCCCACAATTCTTGAGTTTTCATAAGGTGGTTGGATCCAAGAACCATTTAGTGTAAATGTTGGGCCCATTAAGTGCCCATGGTGATGGACTTAGGGGTTCACTGTCTCCTACAGTGAATTCGGCCAGGCCTTGTAACAGAGGCTGGGTTGAACCCATGTGGCTGGTGTGTAGATCAATGTTAGGGTCCCACGCCATACAAAGAGAGCCAACTAGGCAACAAGTTAAAGAGTAAGTGAGCACATAAGCTTAATGGGCCTAAGGCCTAATTCGAACTAGGCTTAAGTTAGTTAATTAAAAGGGGGCAAATTTAGTTTTAAACTGATTAGGATTAACTGAAGGATAAGATAAGTCTTATCCATTTAAGAGTCCAGATCCAAATATAAGATTTGGATTAGGAAACTCTCTCCTAATTAAATTAGGAGACTAATCCAAGATGGCTATAAATAGGGGGTGAATTCCTTAGATTTATACAACAAAAAATTGCAGAATTCTTCCCCAGTTCTTGCCGCCCCTACCCAGTTCGATCTCCACTTGTGGATCTGATCAAGAAGACTTCTTGATATTGTTTATTGGTAGAAGAAACAATTTAAAGGCATGCTCACCAGCCCTTGCTCGATTCTTGCTGAAGAACCATCCTACTGATCTTGCTTCACTACACACTATGTCATCTTTAGTGGAAGTGGGTTTTGGTCTTCTTTTTGGGCATGGACACCTGCGTTAGGAGTTACTGTTACTTCGTATCAGGTATATCTCTCACTTCCCTTTGATTTCAGATCTAGTCCGGTTTTGGATTCAAGAACGAACCTTAAAGATGTGGTTTTCTAAATTAGGGAATACGATTCCTAGATGTGAGAGAGAAATTTTTGAAATTTCGCCCAACCTTCCTGTAGGGTTCAGCCATACATTCGATGTATCTTCCATCCATTCATTAACTATTTATTGTAGTTACAAGTAGACCTGTTCATGGGTCGGGCTCGGGCCGGGCTTTTACTCTTTATTAACAGAAAAATGTTAGGCCCGAGCCCGAGCCCGAGCCCGGCCCGACCAACGGATCTACAACTTGGGCCCGAGCCCGGCCTTGATAAAAAGCCCGAGGCCTGACCTAATAAAAGAAATTCGAATTTTCCCTATTCAAATGGACATTATCTATTTTAATTCAAATGTTTTTT